AAAGTAATAGCACCGTAAAATGTGGCATGTGTTTATGTATGAAAAAAATTAAGTTTTTACTCTTAGAAAAGTGTTAATTAGTTTATTGTACGTAATTGTACATATAATTAATTAATTATTTGTCTTGTTCATGTCCTGGACAAAAGTTTACTTGTTTTTATTCTTACAATTAGTAAAATAAACAAACAAAATAGAAACAAAAAACGATTTAGCCCACAAAAAAAGGCATTAACAAGACAAAAAATTACCTCAAAAAAAAAAAAAAGAAGTTGTGTACCTGAGAAATTTGAATTCCTTTTCACTAGGTTACCGAAATATTGCACATAATGAAAAAGAAAGCAAATCGTTTTGTTTTGTTAAGTGTAGGTACAAAAAAAACATAAAATATGCAGTATTTAGGTAATTAGTAGATACATACAATAGGTATGTGCTTAGTAGGGTTAATTAATCGATTAATTAATAATAATAATAAGTATGTTAGTGTTTGAGTTCGTCTCGAAAAATTTAACAGTTCGCATTAAACCCGAGAGAACTGACGAGCAGATGGCACTTTTTGTTCTGTGTGTAATATTGTACTCTGCTAAAGCTATCCTTTTGTGATGTACTTTAAGCTTTAATTAAATAAAAAAAAAAAAAAAAACAAAATTATAAAGAAACACCTTAATTTAAATTCGTCAAAATAAAAGAATAAGGAGAATCGTCTTACTTGATTCAGCTTAACGTGCATCAATTGTAGATCACAGTCGTTGGGTGCTCTGGGACTTTTTCTTCTTTTGGATTTTAAACCAACCAGCGGACTTTTCCGGATCGCGTGGCATCGATACGGACCTGGACACGTCGTGGTGATATCCGTTTTCCTTGTTGTTGTTCCTTCTTCCCAAGGATTCCACAGACATGCTCTTCTGGGACATTTTTTTATCGTCCCTTTCCCTGTAGTAGCGATTATTTTCTTTCGGTTGTCTCTCTTTTTTCTTGTACAACGTTGACGAGGAGCCTTTCGAAACGTCGTCTTTCGATCGCCTCAACGTTTGCGTCAGACTCTCTTTGCTCCTCGATCTTCTGCTCAACGTCGAGTTGTTTTGGTTCGACTTTTTTGTTTCGTTCGCTCTTTTCTTCAACGTCGATGAACTTTCCTTTCGGCTGGTGCCGTTTCGTGCCACCTTTTGTTCGTATTTCCCGTTCTTTGTCGTCTTTGGATACTGCGTGTAGTCGATGTCGTAACTTTCTCGAACGGGACGAGGTCTCCACGGGGCCAGAACCGAAAATGACCTGCTCAGAGTCTTCTTTTGGGAAAGGATTTGACTGGAACCGTTCGATGCAAGCTCTTCACGAGAGGCTGCCCTGCGACCGTTCCTTAAATATCCAGGACCCGGTATATCGCCAACTGGAACAAAAAATATTTTCTTTGTCTCGTAATTCAAAAGATTCATTTCTATCAGAAAGATCCAGACTTTGTTAGGCTAGACAAAAAAAAATGTCTTTCCTCTTCCTATGGGAGTGACTTTGTTTCACCGTTATACCATTATATACTGCGGATAGAGAAGGCTAGAAATGAGAAAATATTACGTAGCAGTAGGAAAATTAAAAGGGGTTGGAATTTAATAAGAAAGGCTACAGATAGGATGGTGGGACATCTTCTTAGACCTGATGGACCTAGTGAGAGACGTATTAGAAGCAGAAAGAGGAATTAAGAAACGAAGAGAAGAAGATTACTTTTCCAAGACCGTAGCCAGAGTACTTACTACTTAATGTTAATTCTTGCGCCTTTTTGCTCAAAGAAAATTGTACAATTGAGTTCATTTATTCAGATTTTATCGATGTAAATTGATGAATTTTCATTCTTAAATTATATTCAATTCATCTAGACACAATAAAGGCTGCTACTTTCTGTTTTTCTCTTAAGGAAAATTAAACTATAATTTGTAATGCAATACATAGGCAACCNAAATTATATTCAATTCATCTAGACACAATAAAGGCTGCTACTTTCTGTTTTTCTCTTAAGGAAAATTAAACTATAATTTGTAATGCAATACATAGGCAACCCAACATACAGAAAATATTACAACTTTAATAATTAACTATAAAGGAAGTTCGAAAACGTTTTTGCTGCCGAAAATAACTTTCTGAATTATAAAAAACACAATATTATCCTCGAACAAATAAAATATTAGGTAGAAATAATTAATTAGGTGCTACCCAATATTTTTAAAGACACACCATGTAAAATTTGTTTGAAAATCATTACATATTTTTATTTGGCGTCACTAAAAAAGTATTTAGTTACTGATTACTGATTTGTGTTTAATTTTTATTAGAAATTATTATTTAATGCCGAAAATTTGGCATTCATAAAGATATTCAAATGTTATCAATAATTAATAAAAATTTTTATTGAAACTTTTGGTGGAGGCGCCGGGACANCAGAAAATATTACAAATTTAATATTGTAAGTATAAAAAATAACTTTGTCAAAAGAAACTAAATACAATCCATGTACAAACCACAAAATAATACGTAGAAATGATTTATAAGGTATTAAGCAATATTTTTGAAGACATTTTCTTGTGAAATTTGATTGAAAACTTTTACACATTTTTAATTGGAACCGATAAGGAAGTATTTGTTTACCATTTATGAGTTTCTGGTTAATTCTTAGTGTAAATTATCGTTTTAATGTCGAAAATAAAACATCGATGAAGATACATAAACGTTATTACTAATTATTAAAAAAATTTAATGTAAAATTTTGGTGGAGGCGCCGGGACACTTTAAGAAAAAGCCTGTAATTGAGCTATAATTTAAATTTCGTTGAAGTGGATTGATGAATTTTCATCTTTAAGTTATATTTAATCCAAATATATGCAGATATAAGATGGTAATTTTGAATATATTTTTCTTTTAATATTAATTAATTGAATTATCTTTTGTACTATATTGTATGGGAAACCCAATATACAGAAAATATTACAATCCTAATAATTAGCTATAATGAATTTTAGAAAAAGTTTTTTACACGAAAATAACTTCCTTACATGACACTGACTATTATTGTCAAACGTAGAAATAGTTAATTATTAATGCTTTTGTTAAAAGTTCTTGTAAAATTTGATTGAAAACTCTTAAACATTAAATTACTAGAAGTATCTAATTTTGTATCATTTTGAACATAAGTTATGATTTTTTGTTACCGTTAATTCAAGATCCTTTTTGTACGAACAAAATCTGAAATCTACATGGGATTTTTCGCAATTTTTACGAACGAATATCTCACTTAAACTGTTTAATTTATTACTCTAAACCAACCTGAAATGAAGCTCTCAAGGTGCTATCCGAGGTTGCTACATTCACTGTGATAATCATATTTTTCGTTATTATTATCTACTTGTAGGTACAGTACAACTCAGAAATTGTGAGTAAAATTTTTTTAAAATCCTCAAATTCAGACTTAAAATATTCCAGGGCAGAGTGAGGCTACCACTGGCATAGCAATTCATTTTACGGCACGGGGCGAAGATGATTAATCCCATATAAGGTTAAGCATTCAGTCTAGTGTATATATCCCCTCATCCCTTTCGGCTTTCCTTTAAAGAAATAAAAAACGAATGAAAAAAATGAGGTTTTCTTGTTCTATTTCTGTGAGTCATTATGCTTAAAAAACGTCCCAGGAAATAATTTTTTTTCGAGGCCTGAATTTACCAACACCATTGCCTCTGACTACGGCCCTGTACTGTAAATACTACATCGACGACGACATAAAACTAATTATGTGTATTCCTACGGAATTGTATTTTCTTTTCTGGGTAAAAGGTACTCCATTTCCTTTGCTCTACCCCTGACAATTTGTGTATTATAAAATTAAAATTCACATTTGCATTTAAACCTGGCATTAGGATGAAGATTGTCTCAGGATAAGAAGGAGTCAAGTGTGTGTCCTACTAGTTTTTAGGGTGGAAATCCAATGCGGATGATAATAAAAAACACAAGTTATAAATTTTCTCTGGTTTCTCATTTTGAATTTATCTTCTTTTGCTTACCTGTTGCTGCATGAAGATATACGACACTCCTCTGCGACTGCTGGCTGCTATCTCCTTCAGTGGAACTCTCCACCGAACTCACTTCGTTTCGTCTCCTCCTGCTTCTGTCGTCTCTATTTTTGGACATTTCCCTGTTGGTCCTGTGACTGGGTGACATGGGCGGTTTCATCGCAAGCCGTGATCCTCTCGTATCTCTGTCCGATTCGGAAACGTCGACCATCGATTTGTAACTGTTTTTCCTGGTATACACGTTGGGACTTCTTCTGGTTTCTTCGGAGATGTTGTGAAGTTCTCGGGAAGACTGGCTGCGATTCCTCTCGTTATTGGCACTCGATAAAGTGCTCCTGTATTTTGCAGAAGGCTTTTGGCGAACGCTGTCGTTCGATTCGATATCGGTATCCCCGAAGAAACGAAGATTTTTTGTAGGAGTTTGTTTTGGTAGATACTCGTCTTCTGTACTCGTTTGATTTTCAGTTTTCGACTCCTGATATATCGAAGTGTATTAATTACTTAACAGTTACGTTAAATTCTTGATTTTTATGAATTTATTAGCAGCACATTGTCAAAATTTATCTGAATGCTAATAAACTTTAATTGTGCTTTGGATTTATTATTGAATTGTGTTTTATATTAATTACGACAACAAAACAAAATAAAGCTTAAACATGCCCCGAGGTTTGGGCTCAAAAATTGATTTATAATTGCTAAATTAATGACAAGACATTTTTATTTATTAGGCAAACAAATCCTTAACATAAACCTAATGACATAAATATCAATTTCCGGAGGCTCTAATCGAGAAAATTTAATAGAGTATTAAACGCGACACAATTATGTCTACCACTTAAAGATTACTATTGGTAAGGTCTATTAAAAATGGGACAATGTTTAAAATAGTATGCCCATACATTAAAATGTTATTTCGTAATCAATCGGCTGAAATATTTATTGATGGTCGAATAGTCCGCGTTAGAACAACAATTCCTAAATTCCGTAAACTCGCTAACAAATGACGGAGCGAATTTCTCTACAAAGTAGCGATTTAAAACAGTCGATGATGTTATGGCGTCAGCAGTTAATAATTATGGTATAACTTACCTTCTTCGGTTTTTTGCGCGATAGTCTATCTAACGACTTGAACCAGCTGCCGTGTGTGGGCTCGATTTTTCTCGGAGTTTCGCGTGTAGGACTAGGACTTGGAGTTGACAATCTTCGTCTGCTGAAGTAGTCGTGGCTCTACAGTAAAATCAAGGAAATAATAAATAAACAAATTACGATGTATGTAAGTGCGTAGGTGTCTTACAGAAAAGAAGGATATTGGGGACACTATGGAATACAAATAAAAAAAAAAAATAATAAATTAAATGGCACCGGTTAGTTAGATCTTCCCTTACATATAAGTGCACAGTTGCACTCAGTGTTATTAAGTTTGAATAGTTATTATGCAAATTAATGTCTTAAGTCATTTTAACGATGAGCCTGTGCCCCAGGGTCGGCGGCGCGCCGGCATCAAGGAGATACTGTAATATTTTTCAATTTACTGATCTCATTGTAAGCAATTTAAATGCGGTTGCCAAGTGAAGAAAATTGATTACAAAAGGTGCGTTATTTTATGAAAACAAATCGGAATAGTTTCTTTGCGTACTGGTTTCCCTTTTACGTACCTATATCTATCAGATAATTACTAGTTTTAACTACGAATCATTCTTTAATTAAGCAGTAAAATAAAAAGAAAGTATGATAGTCTCTCCCGGCTCGGGGGGTCCACACTTAGGAAAGAGCATTGCACTTTTTTCCCCGAAAGTACGATGATTTTTTCCTGATTTTACAGGTGGTAAAGTGCAACACAACTAAGGTTGCCACCTTTTCAGGCTTTACATAAAGTATTTCTCGACTAAAAGGTTAAAAAAAAAGTACTCAGCATAAAAATAAAGTATTTTATTTTTTGTTTTTAAAAACATTGTTTTGGTACACCTAGCAGCCAGTAACAAATTGCTGTCGCTCTTAAATACATTAATAGCCTCTAAACATGACAAACAAAGATTTAAGTAAACTAAAAGTTCATTTTTAATTAGTTTTAATGAAGCTTTATTCCTGTCGTCCCGCCACTTTGCGTTCATAACAGAGAATACTCTTTCTGTAAATGCTGAAGTGGCCGGAACGGACAGCAAAAGTGACACTACTTTGAACAGATTCGGGAAATCAGGTTTTTCCGTACTTAGAAACATTCTCAAAAATATAGTATTGTGCAATATTATTGATGTAAGAATACTCTGAATTTCGAATAATCGCTTACAAAATTACGATGTTTACTTAAGGCCTTAAATAAAGTATTTTTGCACAGTCGAAATAGAGTACAATACCTTATAATAAAGTACGGGTGGCAACCCTAAACACAACCCCCCGGTAAGAAATCGAAAAGAATATATTTTTATTGTCTGTTTGCCTTGCCGATACAAGAAAATTTATAATGGATAAATATTAACCATTGTGGGTTTGTTTGATTAGATGGTGGAAGATACGATGACGATACAGAAAAAAATCGTTCATGAATGAATAGAGACAGTTGTTCTGGTAAGTAGTTCGACGAGGAGGCGCCATGGGACTGGATCATATAAAGGGAACGACGTTCGCAAGAAAGGTGATCCACTGCAACTAGGTGATTTATGAAAAAGACCATTGCCAATTGCATTTATGTCGCTGACTTAACCGTGAAACCAACGCGGAGGTTTTAAAGGCAGAGGCGGATTTGGCCAATTATTCATACCAACAACAAATGTAGCTGTTGCAGTGGCGGCTTGACCACAAGAGCTTGGGAGATGCATGTTCGATTCGTACATAAAAGTAAAAATAACGTTGTAAACCAGATCGTAGCCAGAGTGTGTAATCAGTAGGGATTAAAAAAAAAATCAGGGTAGGCACAAACCCGATTTCTTTCACATCTAAATCTACATATTTTAAAAAGTTTTTTTTTAATTTTACAAAACGTAGTACTACCTCATCATCATCATAAGATCGTCAGTCCTAAGACTGGTTCGATCTTTGAGATAATTTTCGCGTTTTCCTAAAATTAAAACATGCCACATCCTTAACTATTTCTGACAGTAATCTAATCTAGGTCTTCCTCTACTCCTCCTAACTCCTGTTTTTTCTTTGGATAAGTCTTTGACTACTACTACGTACTTAAGGTTAATTCATGATCCTTTTTGTACGAAAAAAGAGTCGTACTTCCAAAGACTTAAAAGGTATTACGTAGAAGGGACGGGAAAACAAAGGGTGGTATAGAAGTCAATACGAAAATGGATAGACAGGAAGATAGGATACCTTAGGAGACATGAAAGAAAGTAGTGGGAAACATGATAGAAGCAGAAAGAGGAGTTAAAAGGGACAACATGTACACCTTTTTATTACTTTTCAAGGATGAATGTTTGGTCCTTTTTGCACGAAGAAAATTCTACAAAGACTTGAAGTACTTTTTATTAATTAGTATTTGCTATAAGGAATAAAAAAATTGTAATCGTCGGTGCTTAAGTTAATTAAATTTTCTTAAAAGTACCTAATTCAATTATTCAGTTTTTGTGTAGTTTTATTTGCATGCCAGAAGGATCAAATTTGATATTGGCTAATAGTTGTTGTGAATTGTTAATGTTGTAAAATGTTATTGAAAATTTTGGTGGAGGCGCCGGGATAAATTAAAATAAAAGCTATAATTGAGCTGTAATTCTGGTTCCATTGAAGTGGATTGATGATCTTTAAATTATAGTTTTTTTCAACTAGACGTGTTTAGGGATGTCAAATAATATTATTCATGTTTTTACAGTAAGCTAAAGTATAACGTGTAGGTAATACCCATAATATATGTATAGACAACTCCAAATACAGCAAAATTTACAACTCTAGTAACAATTATTAAAAAGAAAATTAGAAAACATCATTTATCACCAAAATAAATATTTTACGTAAAACTGAATATTATCCTTGAACAAACCACAAAATAGTACGTAGAAATAAAAATTAGTTACTAACTACTATTTTTAAAGATATCCTCTTGTTAAATTATGGCTTGAAACCCTGAGACACTTTTATAACATTAAATTAGTAAATGTTTGAAATAATTATTTGTATTTTTCACTGTTTTCTTTTTACTCTTCCCCAGAAAACTATCGGGAAATTCAAATAATAGAATAAGAGGTCAAGTGGAATATTCCACATTTCGGTCTGATTTTTGAAGAAATGCTGGGATAATTTCAAACAAAGGTTACAATTGAGGTATAATTCTGGTTTCATTATAGGTATGTTATTTTTTTTTTTTTGATCTTTCTATATTCATGAAAATTAACTTGAAGAACGCGCAATTAAAAACAAACCATGACAAGTTCGAGCGATTTTCTGCCAGAAAATCCATGACTTAATTCAAAATTTTCGGTTTTATTAATATACATAATTAGCTTGATTAGCCCATTTCCCACGCTGTTCCAAAAAAATGTGCAAAAAAAAAATAGAGCGACGTTGAGACAAAAGAATTGTTTACTTACAATGCTGTTCGATTTTTTCTAACAACGATTTTATAAAGCGGGCTTTGCAGGAATCTTGGCCAAGCCATAATCGGCATTGTGTAGGAATTACTCCCTTATTATTCCTACCACACAATTACTATTGTTCGCGACACTTGCGTCCTTCATGCGGCGAATTTCATACAGACGGAGCACGGTTTAACAAGCACTCCGTATTCATACACAAATACATATAGATATATAAGTAAGTATGTAATGTGTCCAAAGGTGAAAAACTATGTACCTATACACTGTCCATTAGTGCAGTCAGCTGTATAATAATATTTATCAGTTTTCATATTGTGTGACGCAATACGTAGTTTCCATGCGCCCACTCTGATTTGCGCCCATTTGGAGAACAAGTATGTGCCGCGCAATTATAATTTACAATGAACAGGAAGACAAGTGTGCAAATTTGAATAACAATCGTCCGAAACAATTCGTCGGAGAGCGCAAACAACAACAACTACTACAGGTGGCGATTAATAATGGAGTTTGTGGTGCTTATGATTATCACTGAAATAATAAAATTGTTCAGCTTTTCTGAAATATAACGCTAAACAAAACCTGAATAAAAGGGATAATAAGATAATTCACGACCGGCGTTATCCGAAAAGATAGTGGGAGATCTGCGATCTCAGGGAACGCTAATAAATTTGTTTATCGGACGTTTGATCAAAAGTTGTGGTTCGAAGGACTTTAGGACTCCATCGGTGGAGAAATAATCCTACATAAAGTAGATAACGGAGGTATTGAAGAACAGTATGTATGAAAATAAAAACAAGTAAAACGAAAATACTAATATGCAAGGGAAGAAGAAGTAGGGGAAGAGCGAATATAAAGATAGGAGACGAAAAATTAGAAAAAGTGGATGATTTTAGGTATCTAGGAATTCAGATAAGTCAGGACGGAAGGAGTAGTTGGAATATAAAGCAGAGGATAGAGTAGGGTCGAATCGTCTTCAATAAAAAGAAGTCACTTGTATGCTCGCGAACGATTAATTTGGAAATTAAATAAAGATTGTTAAAGGTGTATGTTTGGAGCACGGCATTGTACGGGTGCGAAACATGGACAGTGGGAGCGGCAGAAAAGAAAAGGTTAAAAGCGTTAGAAATATGGTGTTATAGGCGAATGATGAGGATACCGTGGATAGAGTCTATTAGAAACGAAGAGATATTTGAAGGAATAGGAGAACAGAGGACTCTATGGAAGTCAATAATAAATAGACGAGATAAGTTTATACTACACCTTCTTAGGTATGAAGGTCTAGTCAGGGACATATTAGAGGCAGAAACGGGAGGTAGGAGGGGTGGAGGTAGACTTAGATTAGATTACTCTTCGCAAATGGTTAAGGACGTTGGTTGTTCTAGTTCTGCGGAAATACGAAGATTAGCTCAACATAGGAAAGAGTGGAGGTGCGTGTCCAACCAGTTTTAGGACTGACGACTTTATGATGATGACAGTAGACCAAGACCATCAAGTCTTAATATCGAGTACTATTCTGAAGACTCGAACATTAGTAGTACCGGTTATATTTTCAGTACTACTTGAATAGGTCGTGCAGACTAAAACAACCCAACAAAAATACTTTGTAGTAAAGCCAAAGGGTTCACTATCTGTATTGGAGAGACATAATAATTAGGTAATTACTAGAAACGTTTTTTAAGTGGATTCGACAGAAAC